ATATATATATACGTATCTTGCAATTTGCAACACTTATTGTCACAGGAGATTGGAAAAGAAGTGGTTAGCAGTTGTTAATATTTATTATTTTTTCAATAGAAATTAAGCTGAGGTCATTCGAAAATCAAGTTTCTGAGAAATTGTATAACATACGTAGGCCTAAAATGTACTATACAAAAGCAATAACGTGAACCACGATTAGAATCCAAAACAGCCTTTTGTGTTAGTTTACTATTTCTACATAAAAAATAATTAGGGTACATTAAGAAAGTTACAAACAGATATCAGTTTAATCACCGGTTGGACAGTAAACTCAATGTAAATGAATAACCATCATGTTATGTATGGAAAAACGTACATTTTAACTTAGATAAATTGTTTTATCACGTTTTGTTACATCATATGTTTTCGTATCCTTAGTTCAGCTTCTGTTAGGCACAATAACATATTCCAACACCAGGTGAAAGTCTAAACTATGAACTTTTTGTTTTGTCTTTCGTACAATAGTTTCAAAGTTTGTGGAAATTAATATGTTTGTAACGTTGTCGCGAATATTTATATGCATGGCAAGACCTTAAATCACTTATGATCTCATACATGTCTTTCAAGCGAGATATAAATCTTTATTCATATTTCAGCCAAAAGTTTAAATGGATATTCCTATCTAGTATGAAACGATCATTTAAGGTGTGTTTAGTTTTCAGATATTAAGTTGTAATATTCAAGACAATGATAACAAATACTATCTTATATTATGCATAAAGACATTATTAAAAATTGATTAAATAATTTTTCATAATAAAATTAGATTTATCGCGAAGAGAGCCATGTATTGTTTGAAACGTCATATTTTCTTTAGTTATTATAGATACACTTTTGTGACTCAAACATTGTGTCAAATTAAAGGTTTCAGGCATAATTCCTGAACTAATTCTTACAATACTTCTTTTAATATTTGTTTAATTAATGTAAGACATATTCTAAGCGTTAAAAGCTTCCTGCTGCTTTAATCTTACTTTATCAAATTGATCTAAAAATCAATGAATGTAACAGTGCATCAAGATCAAACCGAAGTCAATGCTCAAATATTTCTCAGCCAATATAGCAGAATTCTTTCTCTTTAAGCAACCAGTGATTATTTTTGTCATGAAACTGATCAAGAATAATTAATATACAAATTCTCAACATAGTCTAACAGAAGTGTTTTGATATATTTACAAGATATTCTATTAGAGAGGAGAAAGTGCTGATTACATGAACCACCTGAACAGTATAGCTAATTCTTCAGTATAGTTTTTCATGATCTATTTTAAATCGATTAATTTTTAACTTTTTTTCAGCATTATTTATTTGTTTTGTTTTTAAGTTAAGCACAAAGCTACACAATGGGCTATCTGTGCTCTGCCCACCACGGGTATCGAAACCCGGATTCTAGCGTTGTAAGTCCGCAGACATACCGCTGTGCTACTGGGGGGCTTTTCAGCATTAAATGTAATGTGCTAGATCATGTAATTCTAAAATACTTACTCACCTCAGGATTAAGAGCTTAACAATTAGCATTGGTTGTAGAATTAAATTCTAATACATACTTATCCATACTCGGTTGCCTTGCCCTTAAAGTCATAATCGGTCGGGAACTAATACATAATATTCAAACTTTAAACTAACCATTCCAGTACAATTTTTATCTTTGGAAGACCTTGACAGATAAACTCTAGGGTAATTTCGACATCAGTGGTAATGTTTAACGAAGAATATCTAAGGTTCCAATGGTTATTTTTTTCTGTCATCTTTACAATATATTTTTCTCTGATAAGTTTGCCTTCCGATGAATCAGCACCAAGTTTGAGAGATTATAATGATAAAAATCAGGTTTCTATACCATCGATGGGCATAGCGCGGATAGCCCATTGTGCAGCTTTGTGTTCAATAACAAACAAACTGATAAGTTAGCTTTTTTAGTCATTTTTAGGTTAAGGTGCTAGTCTGAACAGACTTTGATCTGTTTGAGCTGCTATTTATTGGTTTGTTATTTCACGTATTTTTTATTTTTAGCTTTGTTCTGGGCCAAGGCTTGCGGCTGCCGAAATCAGAGGATTGAGAGAACTTAAGAACTTAGAAAAAGAACCTCGCAGAAAACTGGTGAATAACAGGCGGACAACTGGTGAATAACAGGCGGACAACTGGTGAATAACAGGCAGGCAACATGTGAATAACAAAACCATAAGAAGTTTCACTAAAAGAAATCGAAACGTATGTTGGTATCACGTGATATCTAATAAAGAAAATCGAAAAACTCATTTCGTGGCTCAGCTGTGAACTTAAGAGCTTATAACACTAATATTCAGGTTTCGATACCCACAGTGGGAGGAGCGAAGATAGATCGTAGTTATAAGTAAAATCAAATCCTCAAGTTTTTAAAGTGTCTGTTATTGATAATGTATTTTGTACTTAAACAAAGTAACCTAAGCATTGTTTGAATATAATAAAAACAAGTTAGCTGGATATTACAGATTCGCGAGAGCAAAACATTTTGCAAAGTAGAATAATAACAGAATTAGACACTGTTTGTTTCCAATGCAAACCTGCACAATGGATTACTTGTGCTCTGTACACCCGTAGAATCCATTGCATGATTTTTACCATTGTAAGTCCGTAAACTTACCGCTGATCCACTGAAGGACTTAGAAACAGTGAGATCGAAAATTACATCTTTATAATACAAAACTTTCTGAAGTATACGAATCATAAGAATTATGTTTCCAGAAACTTTTTATATACATTTTTATAAACACCTAGACTAATAATTTATGTCCCTGTACATATACAAGTAAAGTGCATGTTGAAATCATTGTATTTTTCCACTGTAGAAATAGACTTATTTCCAGTCGGCAGTTCCTAGCGGACGCTTCCAGCGTCCGGCTGAAAATCCCGATTTAGCCATCGGACGGTAATAGCATCCGATAACATTTATGTTTCTTTAGTTGAAAACTAATCCAAATCGTGTTATTAACCACCTCTTATTAACAGACCTAAAACTTTATAAAGTATGGTGATAATTATTACGACATCGTAAAAATAATTCCGGCAGAACACACGAAAAATTACGAGTTAATTATGTTGCTCTGCGTTACTTGGACGCACTTCCGGTTAATAATGTTCGTAGGCTGACACAGAAGTAGTGCTGTTCTAATTTGATGTATTTTTTCTTACCCTAAATATATTTTCAATCTCTTGTGAGTTCTTAAGAACAGGGCTTTAAATAATAATAATAATACATCTTGTTATTCAGAACACTTTGTCAGTGTGGAGTAGAGGTACTAAATACAAGTAATGCAGTCAGTCTGCATAAGGGAGAGAGTTATTATCATTAATATTCCAAAAACGGGCAAAACATGAAATAAAACAGAAGCATTGTGTTACCTCTTTGTCGTTAATATACCACTTAATTGTCGACGGTGGCTTGGACCTTGCAGATATACACGTTCCTGTAAGATTCTCCCCTCTAGCGTATTGTAAGCGAACTCCATTTATAATAGGAATATGCCTGGGTGGAACTACAACACAGAAACGAAAATAGTATTTCACACATTTGAATGTTCACAGAAAAAAAATTATGTATTCTTAAGGAATGTTAAATTTATTACAAAATAATACCAGTGCTTTTAAATTATAAAGAACAAACTATAATTTAAAGCTGTAAATATGTTTATAGAAATCGTCGTAACTTGAAAAAAGGTCATTTGGACAATGATTACACAGGCCTGCGAATTTAACTTCATAAAAAGTTGTACGAGTTTTAATAACAGATTTCCCACAATTCAGTTGGGCAGTTTTCGAAAATAATATTAATTTTTTTCTATCACGAAAGGATTTTTTTTGCAAATACGGGAAGGAAAAAAAACTAACTTACTTAAATCAAATTATTATTTAGTTTACTACAATGAAT